TGAAGTAATTTATGGATGACCCCTTATGTAGATGCGTAATAATTGATATAAAAGAAATATGTAATTAATTTTAAAATGTAAAAGAAAAATTTAATTTAGTATTATATCATAATAAAAATACAAATAACAAATATGTAAATGAAAATTTTATCTTCAAATTTTCTTTTTATTTTATTTTATTATTTGTTATTTAAAATTGAATTTAATTTAGTATTTTCACTATATTTATTTAGTATTTAATATTTTAGTAATTTAATAAATTTTATTTACTCGATGTGTTAAGGCAATTTACAAATTATTCGAATTCTTTTATTTGGAATTAGGATGGTTTTATCAGCCTATTATGTCCAAACAAGAGCTTTAGATGGTATAATTTTTTTATAAATAATTTTTAAAACCCGTAATAGTGAATCTAAAGAACACCATTTTGGTTTCTTTAGATCAATTCCGCTCATCAGTGTTAACATGAATTTAGTTAAAATCTTTTGAACAAGTTCCATAATTTACTATTATTTCTAGTTCTAATCGGTTCTGACGTATATTAACTATATATAGTTGTCAAAACACAATATTTACAAAAACTACTTGAATTCCGACCAAGAAAGAACTTATAATTTAGAAAAATTACCTATAAACGATCAAAACAGATCATATTGTTTAACTATAATGTTCATTTCACCTAAAAAACGTAATAATTTAAAATCTTATCAAAATTTGGAAAAGCGATTGTGATTTTAGAAAGAATTAAAAAAAAAAAGAAATCTTCGGTCTGGGTTTTTTCGCTATGAAAATTTATATTGTTAGAGCCGTAACCACATTTCTGATATTAGGGGGACCTATGGTTCTTTTAAATGAGGGAGGGGATAAAATATTTGTTAAAAATATTATGTATATATATATATATATATATATATATATATATATATATACAAATATATATATATATATATAAATATATATATATATATATATATATATATATATATATATATACATATATATATATATATCTATATATATATATATATATATATATATATATATATATATATATATATATATATATATATATATATATATATATATATATATATATATATATATATGTATATATATATATATATATATATATATATATATATATATATATACATATATATATATTATATATATATATATATATATATATATATATATATATATATATATATATATATATACATATATATATATATATATATATATATATATATATATATATATATATATATATATATATATATATATATAATAATAAGTTAATTATAATTATTAAGGAAAAAATATATATTTTTCCTAAATACTTATAATTTACTTTTTTTTTTTTTTTTTTTTTTTTTGGGGGGGGGGGAGGGGGGGAGGGGGGGGAGGGCAAAGATCTAAACAGATCTAAAAACCGACATTCTCAAAAAGTTAAAATCCACACATAACAATGCTGCAAAATACTGTTAAGAACAAAACATCAGAAACTGAAGACGTAAAAAATTATCTCGTTGTTTCAGAAATTAAAACAAACACATTTACAGCATAAACATACTAATGTCAATGTTACCCCATATAGGGGTAACATTAACAGTTGAACCCCTTCAGAAAAAAAAAATTATCTTTTAATAATATTAGATACCTAATTTAATTCTTTATCAGTTTATGGCAGCAATATCATTGGCAAACGTATACAAATATTGCATACCAAATTAAGTTTGTCACAACAAAAAACAATTAACTATATTCTAAAGATGTGTCAATGTTCCCCCCCCCCCCCCCAATTTATCTTACCTGTTAAATATACCAGGAGTTTTTCTCCTTATTTTTCTATTATTATGTTGCATGTAAATTGATTAAATTGTTCTTTTATTGCCACAAGTAGCAAATTGTCTTTGCATTGACAGCATTGCTTTCAGCCTTATTTTTATAATTTTAAGTATAGAAAAAAATAGATAAAGTAAATTTATATGCAAATTAAATATTACTAAATACTTTGCTATATAAATTATATTTGGGTAAGAAATTAAAACAATAAATTCAATAAAACCAAAAGTTTTGATTTTTGAGTCAAAAGAATAGTTTTAATTAAAAAAAAAAAAAAAAAATTTGCATTGATTTGTTTTTGTTTTGTATTTAACGGTTTTTTATACTTATACAGTTAATTGCCGATAACTCGAACATTTAAGAAACCTAGGAAAACGATTTGACTTAACGAAAGTTCAACTGAATCCCGGTCAAGATGAACTTAGATTGATATGATATCGGGTAGAGCGGGGCATATGGAGATAGTGGGGCATAACAGGACAGTTATGCCAGATGGTATATCTTTATATCTGAGCTAAAAAAAAGTCAGTTTGCGAAAAACAAAATTTGCATATTTTCTTAAGCGATACAACGAAAAAAGATTTATCTTGAACTATTGCTAATTTGCTTTATTTATAAAAAGTTTTTATTTTTCAGACAATTTTATCCTCTTTAAGAATCTGATTTTAAATTATATCTGCACTTTGCACTTTTTGAATAGTATTAATTTCAAATTGAATTTTTATGGGGCATATCGAGACAACAAGTTATTCATATAATTTACTATATCACTACCATTTCGTGATGCTGTTTACAGTTTGATGATTTTGTTTTTATCT